TGGAACAAGTGGCATTTCTTGGGATGGAGTTTGAGGTTTGCTGCTCTCAAATGCTTGAATACTTTCTTCGGTAGAAATTCTTTCTGAGGAACTTCAACGATACAAGTCCTTTCTTGATTAAATCAGTTTATTCTTTCTCGATACAAACTTTTAGCACACAGTAATTTCCCAAACAATACATTTCTCATCACTTTTATAACACATAACTACTTTTATAATACACGCTATAAATAACACTTCACACACTAGCTCGAAACAGAATCGTAAATTACCCGGAACTTTCTTCATTCATCTCACAGGCTTTCCCTGCCAGGCTTATATATTAAAAAAGAGGGCGTCTCGATCAAACTCTGTCTTCCTTGATAATTCATAATCATTCGAGAAATTCATCACGTGTTACCAGCGTCATGTGACTTCCACTGTTGTAACAGTACAGTACCAAAGGGAAAATAACCTATAACAATAATTAACCAAGACACCAAAAGTTATCCACTTTCCAGAACTGATCACTGTTTTTTTAAATCTACACACATTACCATATGTAATTTGTAAGGATAAAAGGACAATATCACTTTGTCACCATAACTAAAAAGCTGTTTATTGTGTTGTTATATATTGTTATTATCTTAGGTATGTTATAGAAGTAATCTCTTTAAGATATCTTATTTAATAAAAGAATATCTATTGATTTTGTTAAAATACATTTAAAAAAAATTGAAGTATCAAAGTAAACTATGAAACTGTTTAAGTGTTGTTGCTTTTAAATTTGGCTTACCTAGAATCTATCTTCATTTTTACCAGGCCCTGGTTTAGCATTTATTGCTTATCCAAAAGCAATAGCTGAGATGCCCTTGGCACCTGTTTGGGCTACTGCCTTCTTCTTGATGATAATCATGTTAGGATTAGATAGCCAAGTAAGTGCTCTTCTTACAGTTTACAATTTAATCTCTTAAATGTTTAAATCCAATATTTTCTAATTGTTTGTTTAGGTTTGTTTGTATCATGAAAACTAATAAAACTTTAGAGAAGTAATTTAATAGAGTTGTATAGGTCACCTTATCATTCAAAGAGAAATAATTTGATTATTTGTGTGTGTGCATGTGCGTGTCTGCTAAGTTTTTAGATCCATTAGTTTATTTTAAGCACAATAGATTTTGATTTTTTTTTCTAGTAATTTGTTTTAGATTTAGGATAACCTCTAAAAGTTTGATTTAGAGTTAAGATTCCTACCTTTGATTATTTAAGAAAATAACTATTTTACTTGTGTTCTTATCTGGGACAAGTAATGAGTTTCTTAAGCATCTTGATTTTGGAAGGTTTGAAACATAAGATGGGGATTTTTCATGTGTGCAATTGATCACAGATTGTGCACCTTTAAAAATATTTGTGCAGTTGAAAATTCATCTATATAAGTAAGTTCAAGTAGATAAATATTAAAAAACATATTTAAGATAATAAAATTCCATTCCAAAGTTGATAAATAAATGTATTTACTGGAATATTCTTCATTTTTAGATCATATTTTTTAGGCTTATATGTATGGCATTATGTATTAAAAAATGATGAAGTTAAAATATAATTGTGCAGTTGAAAAAAAATCCTTAGGAAAAGTTCGGTCATGAGGTTAATTGCCATTACTAGTGGGGAAATTGTTGTACGATCAAGATGCAGTTTTTGTTTTCTTTTGAAGTTATGAGGAGAAAAACACATCTGCTTATTTCCTTTGAAATGAGTTGCCTTTGGATGTTGTGAAGGCAATAAATTTAAGGGAGTTTAAGAGAAAGTTTGATAACTATATGAATGATAAGGGCTGGCTTTAGTATTTTTTATTTATTTAACAGGTTTAGTTTAGAGGATGGAACAGCCTTGTTTCTAAACATTGTTATAATTAGATCACACTGAAAAGATCTTGTTTTGTTATCAAAAGTTTGTTTATAATTATAGGAGACTTGTATCTCAGTGAAAGAACTAAAGTTTAAAAATGAAATGTCAAGTTTGATGTAAAGTTCAAAGACTATCCTCTAACTTTATTGATGAACTTTATAGGGACATACCTGTGCTGTTCCTAGTTAGAAAATTTATTAATTGTAGTTTGTTTTGTAGTAGGCTAGACTAACTATTAAAAAAAAAAAAAAAATCTAAAGAAACCTACAAAACCAGTTTCCTGTACATCAACATAACATTTTGGGACAACATAGGACCTATTGTACCATCTTAGCTGTTCCATCATCTAAACTAAACTAAAATTATTAACAAATAAATAGATTTAAAAAAAAAAATCTTAGAGCCAACCCTTATCATTCATATACATGCAACATTTAAACA